TGAAATGGAGTTAAGCAAGTTATCAGAAACGGAGTTCAAAGTATTGGTGATGAAGATGTTCAAGGAACTTAAGGAGACACTAGATGATAAGATCGAGGATCTAAGTGAAAACATAAAAAAAGAGATACAAACCATAAACAAAACTCAGACAGAGATAAAAAATGCTGTATCTCATATCAGGAATGCACTGGAAGGAATTAAAAGCAGGCCCAATGAAGCACAGAAAAGGATAAGTGACTTAGAAGACAAGGTAGAACAAATCACACAATCAGAGCAGCAAAAAGAAAAAAACACTTAAAAAGCATGAGGACAGTCTAAGGGAGCTTTGGGACAACATGAAGTGAAACAACATTCACAATTATAGGAGTGCCAGAAGGAAGGGGAGGAAAGAGAGCAAGGGATAGAGAACTTAGTGGAGGAGATAATGATGGAAAACTTCCCTATGCTGGCGAAGGAGAAAGCCACACAAGTTCAGGAAGCACAGAGGGTTCCAAACAAGAGGGACCCAAAGAGACCCACTCCAAGACACATCATAATTAAAATGGCAAATGTCAAGAACAAAGAGAAAAATATTAAGGGCTGCAAGAGAGAGACAAGCAGTGATCTACAAGGGAACCCCCATAAGGCTGACAGCTGATTTCTCAACAGAGACTCTTGAGGCCAGAAGGGAGTGGCATGAACTTCTCCAAGTAATGAAAAGCAAGAACATGCAACCAAGATTGCTTTATCCAGCAAGGCTATCATTTAAAATTGAAGGTGAAATAAAAAGCTTTACAGACGAAAAAAGCCTAAAGGAGTAGAGTAGCACGAAACCAGCATTGCAAGAAAAGCTAAGAGGACTGCATTAAGAAAAAGAAGGAATAGTGAGAGAAAGGTACATCAGTATAAAGAGGAAAAATGGCATTAAATAAGTTGATATTAATAGTAACCTTAAATGTAAACGGAATAAATGTTCCAATCAAAAGTCATAGGGTAGCAGAATAGATAAAAAAAAACAGGACCCAAACATATGCTGTCTACAAGAGACCCACCTGAGAGCAAAAGACTCACATAGGCTAAAAGTGAAGGGATGGAGTAAAATATTCCATGCAAACGGAAAGGAAAAGAAAGCTGGAGTTGCAATTCTTATTTCTGACATAACAGACTTCAAAATAAAGACCATAACAAGAGACAAAGATGGTCACTACATTTACTAAAGGGATCAATCCAACAGGAGGAAATAACCCTTATAAACATTTATGCAGCCAATATAGGAGCACCTAAATATATAAAAAATTTCTTGGGGGACTTTAAAGGGGAGATTGACAGCAACACAATCATAGTGGGGGACTTTAACTCCCCACTGTCAGCATTGGACAGATCATCATGACAAAAAATCAACAAGGAAATGCAAACCTTAAATGACTCACTAGTCCTAATGGATTTAATTGACACTTACAGGACATTTCACCCCAAAGCAGCAGAATACACATTCTTCTCAAGTGCACATGGAACATTCTCAAAAATAGACCACATGTTAGGGCA